TTGTCTCCTTCATCTTTTATTTTTCGTCTTTCAATTTTTTTATTCCATCTATTTTTTCGATTGCCATTTCTAATTCGTTTTTTTCTTTTTTTTTCTTTTATTATTTCTTTTTTTTTATTCCACCTATTTTTTCGATTGCCATTTCTAATTCGTTTTTTTTAAACTTTTATTTCATGTTAATTTCTCAATCGCTATTTATTTCATTTTTTTCATTTTCTTTTTATTTTCGATCCTGTCTATTCCGTTCTCCTCTTTTCTTTTTTTTATTTTTCGATCTTGTTTATTTCGTTTTTTTATTTTATTTTTCGATCTTGTTTATTTCGTTTTTTCTTTTTTTATTTTTATTTCTCGATCCCGTCTATTCTGTTCTCCTTTTTTTTTTATTTCTCGATCTCGTTTATTTCATTCTTTTCTTTTTTTTATTTCTCGATCTCATTTATTTATTTATTTTTATTTCTCGATATCGTTTATTTTGTTTTTTTTTATTTCTCGATCCCGTTTATTTCATTTTTTTCTTTTCTTTTTTTATTTCTTGATCTCGTTTATTTCGCTTTTTTCTTTTTCTTTCTCTATTTCTCGATCCCATTTATTTTGTTTTCTCCTCCTCTCTTTTTATTTCTCGATTCCGTTTATTTTTTTTTTTTATTTTTTTTATTTCTTGATTCTGGCTATTTCGTCTTCCTCCTTTTTTTATTTCTATCGTTATGGCTTTGGCTGCTCTTGCTGTTGCTTCATTCGAATAGACCATTGACGCTGCAAGAAAATTAATTCAATTAAGACGCGATAATCATGACGATTTTGAGTTCGTATCAAACAATCGCCATGAAAGAATATGGAAAACCTTATTAAATCGATTGTTTCTTAATAGAGGGTTCACCGCTTCTCTTTCTCAATATCGTAGGAAATGGTACTCGTTGAAATACAGATGCGAAAATCTCAAGAGGTTGGAAGCTGGGGAGAATCCTTACGACTAACTAATAATAAACCCAACTCTGCATGATCGGATATTTCATGCAGAGTTGGGTGACGAATTTTGACTTCTAACTGGTAATTATTTATTGAATAATAGTAATAAGAAATATATTTTTTACTTTTTAAAATTTTAATTTTTTAATTTATTTATTATTTTTTATTATTTTTAAACGTAAATCATCATCGGTATAGAAGACAGAATGTAGATCACCACTGATACCAGTACCGACATAGATCTCATTTTCGCTGAGATTGTAGATTCCATTCTCGTAGTCATTCTCGGGATCATAGATCTCATTCTCACCGTCATCATTTATGGGATCATAGATCACGTTTCCGCAATCATTCAAGGGATCAAAGATCCCATTCCCAAAGATACAGAAGGAGGTCATATTCTTTACGAAG